AACCTCCCATTTCCGGATTGCGAGACATTTTCGGGAAACCCTGTATAACCGACATAATATCCGTAGTTCTGGAGAGCCGAAACTGATAACAAGTTTATTACCGATATACTTTATGACAGTTATAAGATCTTTCCCGTTCTTCAGAACTGTTTCGGTCAGATCCGATATGCAACAGTTTGAAACGGTTATTTTTATTCTTGGTAATAACCAAATAGAGCAACGTGTCGTTGGTAAAGTAGAGGGACCGCGGTACCCGAGTGGCCGAAGGCGGTCAACGGGGACCGAACAGGAGTAATTACCTGGAGGCTGTTGTAGCTGGAGGAGGTCCTCTTTCCACCGAACCGGAAGCCGCGGTCATGGTCGTGTACGTGTTTGTGCCTGAGGAGCAACGCTCTCTTGACCACGGCCTCGTCCTCGGGAAGGATCAGCTCCTCCATGACCATCTGCTCGACCACTCGGTGGGCCAGACCCGGGAGGTCCTTGCCTTCCAGGTCGAGCAGGACCACGCCCGTCTCGAGGCATCTGCGAAGGTTCAGCAGCGAGTGGAAGCTCAAGGAGGCGACGTGGGGCCTGCCCCATCGGTCCGCGCCCTCCTCGACGTCCTCCTCGTATTTGATCCACCTGGCCGTCTCTCGCCATTCTCTATCCTCCCCGACCCCGTGCAACTCGTCCAGCTGTACGAACACCTCGTGCGGAGAGTGATCGTACATCTTCTTGAAGGTGTCGAAGGGTATACCGCCTTCTTTCTTCCGGCCGATCTGCACCGTCGAGTAGGCCGCCTTGTGGCGCCTCATTCCCCGCGGATCGTCGCTCCTGTGCGACTCCAGGTCGTCGATGTCCAGCTCCTGCAGCGTGCTCGCCTCCTCCGGCTGCACGCTGACGCGCCGCCCGAACACGCTCGAGCCATCCGGGAGACCCGCTCCCGATCGCTTTCTCCATTGCGGATCCTCTTGCAGCGAATACTTCCGTGACTTGTAATGGTGCCTTCTGCAATCAGACGCGACCTTCGTTAGAAAACCACGCTAAAGTATCCCTAATCCGATTTTGTAAGATGGGAAGGTGCGGTAATTTCTCCCGGAAATGCCGTGTTTCGGGTTGCTGTGAATTTCTCTGTGCTAGTCATACGCCTATGTAA